TCTGTTGTTAATGTTCTAACGCATTCCATATGCTGTTTAGAGAAATTCACTGCACTTGAATCTTACTACCCTTGATTAAATGAAACAGACCTATTGATTTGTCAGAACTATAACTTGACACTTTCAGACCGATACTCTTTCTTAATTCAATCAGTGTTTATACAAAAAACATAAATAAACAAACTGAAATAAGAAGACCGAGAAAATTGAAGTATGTTTAATATACGGTTTCCCGACTCATACCACACTATATAATACTGATTCAATGAATAATTCATTGGAATGGAACTTTCAGCATTTTATGGGCAATCTTCGACCACTAAACATGCAAGATTTGATAACTTCGCAATATTGTAAACTCATTAAGAGTCCAAACGTTCACTGAGAAAAGATTCATATCTTGGGGAAATTTGAACGATTGTATATTCATCTTGCAATTGTGTCTTTCTGCCACTCGATTTTCATTTTGTTGCCAAGCTTTTCACACGCTTCTGGACGTGTTGTTCACGTCATAGGAAGATGTTCAACAAGTATGCTTCCTTATAGTTTCTGCTTTTTCAAACTTTTTTTTTTCTGACGAATACGAAATATCACGGTGTCCAACTGTTACACATGACTGACCTCAGAACAGCGCCTTCGAATACATTCCGTACAAATTCAAAGAGGCCCAATGGACGTTTCTTCTTAAACCGTTGACACGTAAAGAAAATAACAGTGCGTAACGTAAACGGAAGTCGTGAAAGGTAAGCAGAACACCAAACACAATAAAACTGAAGTGTCAGACGATTAGGCATAGTCAACGATGACCCATGCGCGAGGAAGACACTTGTAAACAAAAACAAATCTGCCAATGCCATACTCACGGTTCAAATTCACTGTCGACTGCGTGGTGGCTTCAAAAACAGTTGAACATCATCCAGAAAAAACAGCTGAGGACGAACTGACGGCGCGGAGAAGGGGGCGGGGCGAGGACGACGGACAAACGCTGAACCACGAGGACGGGCGGGCGGCGACGGCCTCACCGGTATGTCAACAAAGCACACAACAGTCACAACGCCAACGGGCAGGCGAAGACGGCGAAGCGGGCAGCGGTAGACGCGCGGACTGCAACCGACTCCCTCGGCCTGCCGCACGACTCTGCGCCTCCGGCCGCACCCGCCCGCCGCCAGGCGCGCCAGCGCCTCTCGCCGCTCACGCTCGCTGCGGGGCCCCGCCGCCCGGCGCTGGGCCCCGCAGCGAGCGGCGCAGCCACCGCCTTCGCGAAACAATGCGGAGCCCTCTTTAAATGCCCATTGTCCGCGGCGAGATGGCACAGCAAATGGACGATGGAAAACAAGTGGACGACGCTGAAAAATGCAATCTAAACAGGAAGTATATAGACCTGCGTATCATGGGTTTGCGTGCTGTGATAAAATGAAACAGAATTTAGTGTTATTTTTTTGCTTTTTGATAGCAGTTCAAGATAGCATTATTGGTGCAAGTTCATAATTTCTTTTTTTGTGACGATTCGAATTTTCGAATAAGGAATACTTTTGAGGATCCGATGTTTTGAATGTCTCAATTATCTACTTTTATTGAAAGCTTGTTTGTATTAACGTTTTATTTAGTAATGATTAATTTATGTATTCAAAGAGTTGTTTGTTTATCTGAAACACGTGATGTGGTGTGCGCAAACCATGCAATACGACGTTTGCTGAGCCGAGGAAATTTTCTGAAAAGCAAATCATTACAAATACATACAGTCCCTGACCATTTTATTATTACCGCCTGCAAAATTTACCAAGTTTTCCCCTTCATTTTTAATGTAAAATGAATAAAACTTGTATCTCAATTGGTTTTTCAGTGGTGGCAACTCGTTGAAATATGGCAACATTTTTTTTTATATGCCAACATTCGTTCTGTGGGAGGTCACATTGGTTTTCTGAGTGAAAACTTACATAATGTTCTTATGAAATAAGTGTTTAATTTGCAACAACTGCGAGTTATTTCGGTACGCTTATCTATAATTTATTGTTTATCCTAGATTTTCTTAATTTCATCTCTTCTATTTAAACTTTTGTGTTTTAATAACGTTTTGTGTAACTTAATCAATACCAAAATGCATTTGTTTTGTGATGAGAACTTGTCTCCAAAGAAAAAAGAGAAATTAAGCCATTAATAGCACTTGAACCCCTTTCACAACTTCAAGTTGCTCAAAAGGTTCGTTTCCAAGATATTAGTAGCAAACATTACCAAGAAATTACTTAATGGCAAAATATGTAAAATGTAGTGGTCACATTAATATGACCGGAGACAGTAGGTGTAAGCCTGGTCGAGTCATTGAGAGGTCTTCTTCGAGAGATAAATTGTTTTCAGCAGTTCACTAAATTACGTTATTTTAGAACAAATTGTAAGATACTTGACAAAGATGAAACAAATTTATTTGCTTGACAAAGCCAATGTTGAAGTGCCGATATCAGTCCGATGATGCAAATTCAAATAACTACTTCAGGCACGTGCTGATTGACCAATCAAAGGAAATAATCTCTTTAAATATCCTAACCAAGCTGCCTACCGAGAAATAAATTTAAACAAATTCTCCTGTCAGTGTAATTCACTCTATTTGAACTTGGTTTTCTTTCATTAGTCTTATAAGTTTACTTTGAATAGTCACTGCTTCTGTTTTGTGAAAAAAAAAACACTAAAAAATTAATGAAGTACTAAAATTTCGGTAAAACTTCGGGTGCAGTAATACGCCAGAAAATAAGCAATTCAATGCTCAAAAATTGTAAAAACAAACAAACAAAGAAAGAATTGGTGGAGTTCCTACCGTTCGTCTGTGAAATAAAATACGAAAGTATATCTTAAACATCAGATGGGATTTGAAATGTTTGGAGAGGCTAGACTATAGTAATTGTTTTTTAATAATTCTTCATTAAGTTAGTGTACTCGTATTTCCTTTTTATGTTTCTTGAAATGCAGTTATTTTAATATCTATTTCGGGTAGTTGGTTAATTGGTAATGTTTCGAATTCGCTTACTCAGTATAATTTCCATGCCTTACGTGAATTCACTCGAGAAGACAGTGATATTAAGAAATTACACCATGAACTGGTTCGCGACAAGTATAATTATCTATATTAGTTGTCTCATTTGTTAATTTAAGGTTCACTTGAGTGTATCAAAGCAGCAGTGGCGTGCCCTAAGTTTAAAATCTGGGATTTTTCTTCCTGGATGAAATATACTGAAAGGGAGTGGACTTACCCTAATAGTTTAGATTTCTAGATTACAATTAATTATAATAAATGGTGTAAGACACATGTAGTTTATAAACAATGTTTGAGTAATTTTAATACACCTTTTCTTCTCTTGCTCCCATTGGGCTTCTCAGTCACACTGGAATATAGACCACTAATGTATTGATGGCGAAATAGTCATACTAAATCATCCCTCGTGCATGGGATATTACTTATAATTTTTGTGGGTTCATGTTCTTAAGTTAAGCACCAGAGTAAAATGATTCAAATCGTTCGGAATAAAGTAATATTAGTGTTCTTTAATCTCTGCAAGATTTTTACTTGTTCTTATGGCTTACAATTTTCTTCCCAGTTAGCGAAATTTTCTAAGTACGCAGCAATAAATAATAAACAATAAGTGCTGTTAATCAGTACATATCTAAAATAAAGCCAATATGTCTCAATGGATACGAGGCAAATGTATTTTGCATGTAAAGTTTTTACTGTAGTTATTTACGATGATTGTTGAATGCCTGAATAGTGATTTATGCACCACGAACGATATAAGGGTTCTAATGATCGAGCGGCGACAAAAAAGCTGTGAGCGTATGGTCAGAAGGATTTTTGACGTTCGAGATCAATAGAACTAGTTAACGCCCGTGGTACATACACATATATTATTTTATTTTTTTACCCAATTTTAATTATTCGTTTTTACTTATTTTCTAATTAACTAGTAGTTAATTTGACTGTCATTTCATATTCCCTCCCATAATTCTCTCCTGAGAACAAGAAACAAGATGCAACTGTTTTCATATTTCCCTCGTCGCCACGATCTTCTCGATCCAGGTAAGTTTTGCAGTGAATATCGAGCTCCGTATGGAAGGCCATAACAAGCAATTATGTTTCAGTAAAAACTAAAACATATTTACAGCTCTCATGCATAGAAACTAGTACTTACCTTCACCGTTTATTCACTGGAAAGTGTTACTTTGCGGTTTGCGTGCGGCAATGTCTATTTTGCCAAATGCGTACCCCAAAGAAGTCACGGACGTACAAAACCATGGCCGCCCTGAACGAGGGGAGCTGAGGTCTCGGAAATTTTTCATTCAAAACACTTAAAAATGTATTTACTTCTACATATTACTTTTGCATATTAATTGCCATAAGTTGTTTATATTGTATGGTGGAATGTGTTCTGTTTATAAATTGGGGAGGAGGGGGGACTTTTATTGGAAATATGGGGCCCCCATGGGAACAGGGTCCCACTTTTTTGTTTTATTTGGACGGCCTTGTATAAAACAACAGGGTACTACTAACTAAACAAAACATTGAGTGACATGGATCAACATGGCTTCGCCTCGTATATTGAGAATAATCTCAAGAGTAAATATTTATAAGTTTCCATGAATTCGTGTTGAAATATGTAGTTACGAGTATTTATAATGCAAGTGGCAAAAGTGATCTTCTAATTTTGCGAGTACGAAAGGTGACGACACGAGGCCGATAGGAGCAATTCTAAGCAAAATAAAATCACTTTTACCACGTGTGTCAAACACTATATTTTAGACAGCCTTAAGGACTTTTTGTCTTCTTGGTCCTTCCGGTCAGACGAAAGTATTTTGATTTCTTTGTTGCATTCACAGATATATCAGAACACTTTAGCATCGTCTCACTTTGAGTGCTAGTGCTAAAATATGAACTTTTAGCACGCTAGGAATGCCCTGAAAGAGCCGCTTTTAGTAGTGGCTGTCTAAAAAATAATGGACGGAACTTGTAAAAACTTTCAAAATGTTGGACGCCGCTCCTTGGGGGAAAGGAAAATAATTTCGATTGCTCGCGAATATTTAAGGAACTTTATTTAATCTTAAACGCTCACAATCTTGTCACAGCCAAATCCAAAATTCCATTCATTCTCATCTACCTCAAAACATCAACTCAGTCTCTAAACTTCGGAATTCAAACTACGTCAACTACTCGTATGTCCATTAATTCCATATATTTTTTTAATTTGAATCAACGTTTTGCCATCCATATACTATTCTCCTGATCACAAATGTCTAGGCCAATAGTTTCGTAGTAGCTACAGACAACCACTACATGCCCATCGAATACAATTTGTTTCTATCGATATTGAAATGATTTTCATATCACACTTATCTGCTGTAAGTAACCTTTGCCTTAAGTTGATTTCTACCTTTCGTCTGAGCCCTAAAACTTATCTGAAAGGGATACTGGTAGAGAAAAGTAAAATTTAAATAGAAATCCACAAAAATAACGTCTAGGGACGGTAAGTAGATATCTCAAAAGGAAGGTAAGTAATTACCACAGTCTTATATTCTACTAAAAAGTGAATGACTAATATTCACAGAATACTCGAATATTTTAGTCGTATAAGAAATTATCCTCATAGTTTTGATAGTCAATATCTCGAGGGATTTCTTTCAGAAGCTTGTCGTAGAGGAGAGTCTTCACATCCTTGGCCAGAATGAAATCTAGGTGGTTGAAACTGGACAGTGGAACCACATATTTCGTCTTAGTGCAGTGAAGCTCTTGATACAGTGTGTTCACATCCTGCGAAGAAAATAACAAAATTTCAAAAGTTAAGTAGAGGAATTGGTCGTTTTACACTGCACCATTTCATAACTATATACGAAATAATTTCTCCTACAACACATAACATTTATTTTTCAATATTGTTTAAAAAATCTTTATAATCTACGCAAAGAAGCAAACAGTAAGCAAAGACTACAAGGAAATTGACGAGTTCTAATCCACTCAGTGATTTCTGGAGGAAAATTTGTTTTTCGGAAGCATTTTCGCAAAATTGAGAAGAATCTCATCAAATTTCTAGAACGTCTGAGAAGCGAGAGTATGAGGTCGGTGATATTTTTCAAGAGATGTTCGTTATGTATAGAGTGAACGTCACGTGAAAGTGTGAAGTGTTTTCATTGTTTTTACATTTGCGAGATTTTACGATCTACAAACTAAGACTATATGTGATATCCGAAAGAACTCTACTGAGAACATGGTTCTTGAGAAAGAGAACTTGGTTCTAAATGCGTCACGAAACTCAATACGAGACTATATGTGATATCCGAAAGAACTCGACTGAGAACATGGTTCTTGAGAGAGAGAACTTGGTTCTAAATGCGTCGCGAAACTCAATACGAGAACTCCGCAAATCTCAATACGGTCCTAAGTCCCAAGGGTGGCAGGATTTTCGATACTAGCTAGATAGATCGAATTCAATCGATGTCTGGAGAAGTATTCTCGCGCTCGGTTGCACTGATCTGCTGTTTTCCATGGTTTCACCGCTCAATATCAGGCGGGGCCGGAGCAGTACCCTAACAAACGGGCCACGGACCGCGCGCAATCTTTCCTTCCCCTTCCTTCTATTTTCATCCCTTACTTACATATATCCGCACATGCATGCACTACACAACTAAACATGCCGGGAGACAGAGCTGGAGCTTAAAGCTTTCCAGGATAAGGCGGTGCCTCGTTGGTGGGAAATATCCGATTAGAGAAAACCCCGCTAGCCGACGGTAGGTCGACGGCGAGTCTCATTATTCACGGCCCCCTCACGAGGAAACAAACATGCACTAAACTTACGACACTAATGGCTTAGCCGTTGACGAGCCTGATATCACTAATCAATCAATCAATACAAGAAAATATCGCCGATTTTTATCCACAATTTGAAAGGAGAATCGGGAGATTACCATGCACGTGCTCTGAAGACCGAGAAAAAAAAACTCTTCAGTCGCTTGGAAGAGATGTGGAGAACGTCGTTAAAAATATAGTAGTGACGAAATGAAATGTCGCCGCTAATTCAGCAGAATTTCTCCCCCTCACGCAATATCATTTCACAAGTTAAATTACCCAAAGAATTGGTGCTAAACAGTTCAACAACGGTGCACATTCGGGAAGATTGTTTTCTCATTATTGATCGGCAAAAGAGTTCTGGGGTCTACCAATCACAGGTACGTCTTGATCTAGGAGAAAGGGGATCCCTTTTTGACACTTCATTCGGATATCACATGTAAATGAAATGTTATGAAAACATACTTCTCTCAACTACAAATAACACAAGAAAATTAAGAAATTCAGAAAAAACTTTAGTTCCCAAGATTGTTGAATTTTTTCCACTATTATTTGCATTATCTGCCTTTATTTTCAAAAACCGTCTGGGAGCGAGCTTCATGGGTCAGCATTTATCAACACCAAAACTCAGAGGTAGGAACGAAAACGAAAAATTTTTATTCTTACCAAAAACTGTAGAATAATGAAGATATATTTATTCATTCGTATAGAATTGTTTTCATGGTACTTCACATAGAATTGTTTACATGGTCTTCGATGGCAAATGCCTGTGTAAGGTACATGTGTACTTTACTGCACTACTGAAGGCGTTTTAGGGATCTGCTGAACACCACAATTTTTGCTGCGGAGGAGTGTTCATACTGCTTTCTGCTCTAGTACCCAAGGTTCGGAAGATAACGCTAGATAAAACTCTAGTAGGCTCAACTGATCACCGGCAACCACATTCCTGAAGGCGGAAGCTTAAGTTATCATGAAAAAACGTCGTAATTCAGAAATTAAACCGCATTAGCCAGCAACTCGTTTTTCAGAAATTCTAAATAGGGTGATTCATAAACCAAAAAGATGTATAGTTTCTATCCTTGAAAACAAATATATGCAAAACAATATATTTCAACGGTAAGCGTGGAAATCTAAAAACTGTTTCTCTGCTGAAAGTAATATTTTTGTTTTAGGCAAACTTTATCTACAGAAAAACATATTAAAAGCTAGTGACTTACCACAGGTGCTGCGAGCCAATCGTTATTTGCGTAGACGAGATGGACAGAAACATTTACTTTCGACAGATCATACGTTGGTGGTTCAAGAGATCTGTACTTCTTGAGATTTCCATACTTGCCGAGGTCATACTGCTGGAATTTCCCTATTGACATGAGAAAAGGTATGAGAATAACTTATACATGTCAATAATCAAAAGATTGATTATTTAATGTTACTTGTACACCCTCAAAATATGAGTATTTTAGGTAGACATTGATTAGGTTCGCCGGATTGTTGCTTTTATGGCCCAAAATGTGCAGACCATATAATAACTGATACGCCAATAATATTTTTAAGGTCACTAATATTTTTATTCCGCGGTTAGAGAAAATTCTTAAAATACATGACCTAATAAAAACACAATAAAAAGATTCATCCAATTTGCAGCATTCTTTGCATTCAATTTTTTCTGTTTATTATTTTAAATAATAAAATGTAGTTTATGGAATATTCTAGCAATACGATCTATATTATTTTGAAACTTTCGAAGAACAGAAACTGTTCGAAAGCTGAAACACCCCTACTATTATTTATTTTATGTGTAAACTAGATTTTCTTTGTAACACTCTGTAACACACTTTGTAAAACAGTTCATCACGGATTCCCAGAAGTTTATGCAGTTGTCAAAGAAAAGTTACTTCAAGTTTATGATTCTCGGTGTCTATGAAGTGCGCAACCTGTTCATACACGCATATTTACGCGGTTATTCTCGTGTTATTTTGGCTTTTCATTAATACAGTACATCAATTCATTTTCTTTCAGTGTCATTCTGGAGGAAGACGTTAGAATGGTTCTCGAGCAACAAATATTCAGGAAGTTCCAGTATTACTTTCTATTTGCGCTCTCTATAATACTTTCAACATACGCTTATTGCGTGGCGATTATGTACCTGATTTGATCATCTGTGCGTAGTGAATGAGAGTGCGGGTGGATGCGCCAGCCGGTGTGTGGCTGAGGAGCACTGGCAGAATACTCTGAAAAATTAAATACAACATTGTGCCACAAATTAGAGAAAACTCATTAATTTAATTGGTAACTCTGAGACAACAAATTCATTAATCTGTCGAAGTAGATGAAGCTCCTAACTTCTTTGCACATGACCATCTCTCATCATAAAAGTTTGTCTTTGATTGCTTTTACGTAGGCGATAAAAATAAAAATAAATACCCTGTGTTATTTACCGTGTTAAACTGCGGCTTGTCATATCCACAAAGAATGAAAATTAAATTTTCGCACACGTCTCTTTCTGTTTCCAATAATTCGCAACCATATTTGGCCAAGTAGTGAAGAATCTTATTCTGAGGAAGAAATTCTCCATCTCCAAGTAATCCAGCGAGGAACTGAAAAGAAATAAGAAAATATTTGTAAATTGTTGAATCTATTATGTACGAAACGGAAAGATGTGCATATTTCACCTTTCAGGTATCAATGTTAATCTGGATAGCAAACTACAACTAATTTAAAATGATAATCCATTTCAATAAATACGTTTTATTCCTTTCGTGAATTGTGAGAAAACGTTGAAGGAACACGAAATGATGAGCGCTCAGCGTTCACTTGTGAAGCGATATCGCTGATCCAAAAAGAAGGAAGAAAAAAATTAGTTTTATTCGAGCAGTAATGCAGATTGGCCAGCCGGCTGTGTTCAAAATCCTGCACCATTACACTCGTGTGAAGAACATTTTCATTGGGAGTCATGTACATCGAGAGATGGACGTTAAAGAAAGAGATATTGGTTAAATTCGTCAAAAGTCGACGCTCTGTCCTCTTAAACGAGTCGAACTCTCAATAAACGTCCGCCCAGACGCTGCAATGTAAGATCGAGTTTGATTAAGCATCTGGCATACATAACATTTACATTACATAACATTTTGTATATAATTTGTACACTTTTTATTACACTTCATTTTATATTTCAGGTATTCGGTTCTTTCATCGTACAATTCCTGTATTTTTAGATTAGCTGTGGTAATGATCGCAACGCGATCGAAAAGATTTTGAGATTAAATACATATTCATACCTGCCCACCTTTTTTTAATTATCTGAAAGTATCTACCTCACCAGCGATCTCATTCATTAATTCGTCAAAAGTAATTTAAGATACAGTTCCGACAACATTATTAATATTAAAATATGAATTAATCAGTACATATCTGAAGAATTAGCTTCCATCGATTTTGTGATTTTTTCCCTATGAACTTTCACTTCCAAAAGCAGCTATGGTACCGAAGTGTTGAGAGAAAATAGACCATTTTCTTCTCTATAAAAGCAATGTACGAGGATCAGTCAAATTAAAACGAAAAATATTTCTTTTCTATGCGGAGACTTTTTTTCCCTTATTTCTCTCCACTAGTATTTAGGCATCAATCCCACCTCGTAACCAATTTTAAATTTCTTTTTTGTACCACAATTTTGGTTGCCTTGAAACCACTGATGCACTGACTCAATCTCATCACCGTCCGACGCAAACAGGCCCCTTACCAGGCCACTTTTGAGATTGCCAAAAATATGGGGGTCGCTAGGTGACCGGTCCACATTGTGTGGGGGATGATCGAGCAACGTCTAGTGCTACAGTATACATGGTACAGTTTTCATGCAGATTCGCATACAGTTTCTGGACAAAAACTTCAAGATCCAAAACTAGTAGTATAAAAGCCGAAAGTCGCGCATACACGGTTTGAACGGTTTCAGTATGAATCGCCACAAGACGCCGCTAGGAGGTCCACCGCGAAACAACTGAATTGCGCCGTCCGGTACTTTCACTGTCGGAATTTCTGAGCGTGTTATTAACTATTAATTAACCATGAGGATCATTGAGAAGAAAAAGCAGGAAGGTGAGCTTAGGGAAATAGGTAGTTTATCACGACATCACTTCACACAATCGCACCTTTACACATCTAACTTCAAAAACGAAATGGCCGATTACCCTCCCGTCGGGTAAAGAAATCCGTTAGTGAACGTTACAGCCACTAGAGGCATTTGAGACAAACTGTAAGCTTTCTGCATAGAAAATTCCGTACATGCCCAATAGTTTTCGTGCGGAAATGGAGCAGTCTGGATTGCACGTTTTCTGTACGCCCAATCTGCACGAGAACATGTATACCGGCTGTGTCTATGTCGTATCTAACACCTTCGGCGGTTGCAAACTGCATCACACCAATACGCCAAAAACACTTGGACGCCTCGTTACGGTGAACGCTTTATTTCCCTAGCCAATACATATCACTCCTAGGACATGCAATTTCCCAAAGCCGGAAAACACAGCTCTCATTCAGTAGTGGAAACTAAAAAGTTCCATGGCGGCGCTCTATCTGATTTTTTCCTATTTCTCGTTTGCATTTCACTGAACTACTTCGTATGTATGAATCGTCTCTCAGAAGGAGCAGTCGACTCATATTATTTCAGTAATGAAGATACCTTTTCCTTTAATCTTCTTCTTATGAGTCTCACATGCAACCAATCTCACGGAGACGTAACGAGTTACATTTTGACTTTAAATATGTGAAGGATTTGTTTAAAAAACGCATTTAAATATTCACGTCAAATGCAACCCGCAACACTACAGAATTGTCAAAATGTATATTGTTAAATAACTCCTCAACGAAGCGTTCTAGGGCCTTAAAACCTGGAATTGTGAGGCACAAGGCTCAGAATAAGATATTCTAGAATATTCTAATACATTTTGCTGCTCCAGCGCTTTTCAATACTACTTCAACTGTTCGAAAGCGTGCGGAATCTGCGACTGTATGCGAAATTAAACTAATTACTCCATATTCTAGGCGGTTAAATTGCACATCTCAGTTCGGTAATAAAGTTAAATAATATTTCAAAGAGTAGGATTGTGCTTGCCTGATCCTGTATTTTTGCAGGGAAAACTTTATGTAGCTTTCTCGAGAGTAAAAATGTTTTTGTAATGTTTTTGTGACTATCAAAGAAAGCGAAAAGCTAACTGTGAAGCAAGAATGTATATTTACTTCAAATATTTTTAAGGACGTGATTTGAATTGTTCCAAGAACATGTTTAAAATACTGAATAAACCACTATTCAAAACGTATTTCAAACATCAATTTCATTGTTCTTTATTTTAATTTTAAATTCTATAAGTATATTGGAAATTTCCTTTTTATTTTTTTAAACAAATAAACACGTTTCGTTAACAACTTCCCTTTTTAATATGGACAAGGAAAGATAAATAAGAGGGTGGTATTTAACATACGAGAGTTCTTGTACGGGTACGCTAATATTAGTATATACTTCTTATATGCAGTATTTAAACTTTTTAAGAGGGTTTCAAGAAAGTCAACAACAAAATGTCTGCGTGAGTGCCTCTTAAAAATTACACTTTATCCACGCCCATAATCAACATCAATTAGTCAATCGTAATGGTCAATTCCTGGAGTACACTGAAATGAGACTCAGTCTCACAGGCATGGGCGTGCGCAAAAGTAGGAAGGTGCCGTGACCCCTGAAAATTTCTAAAGAGTCATTATGGTCTACTTAATAAAACTTTGAATTTCAGACAATATTATCCCTTTCTGATTTCCCCCCTTTTTAAGCTGACGGCAAATTGATACACGACATTTGGGGAAGTGGTTCTCCCAACCAATTACTAACTTGTAAATGGTTCAACTTAAAATTAATTGTACCTGTTTTATGTACTTCCTGGTAAAATATGTCATATGTAAATAAAAAATAATGGTGAAGGGACCCACAGTTCCCCACTCTTGTCACAGCCGTCATCACTAGTAATCCAATGAAAATACACGGGCTTCTCATTTAATTTACAGACTTGACTTCGCCTCTTGTTATCAATATCTGCACTATTCGGTAAGAAAAAATATGTGAAGATATATTTCCATTTTTTCTAAATTTATCGTAACGGCTAAGATACATCTCCTTTCTCTTTCATCGCTAGAGGAGTATTTTCTGAAGTATTGCGAAAACGTAAAGTGGAAATATTTAATGATAATCGAGAATACATTTTTGTTGAGAACTGATTTTTTTATAACCGATTCCTAGGAGCAATATTCCTCAGATACATTCCGAAGTGCAGCGAGGACTAAGCGAGGCTAAGTAGTAAAAAACATAACCGCACGGTTTGCCATGATAAGAAAATTACGAATCTTCTGAGATTATTAATAGAATAATTATTATTACCTGATGTGCAGTATAGTTAGAAAAGTGCTTAGAAAACACACCTTGTGACAAAACAATGATAGTTATGAGAACACAACACTCAAGCATTGAACTCCTGTTCATGTGTTGGCACCGAATAATAGAATTATTTAATACGGTGAGTTCCAGTAAATACAAACAAGTTAAGCTGTGCTTCAAGTGAGTTGAAAAGCTACAGATATTTCTAAATATTGCCGAAGAAAAATGCACCTTTTTTCGGCGTTACACAAACGACGAAAAACGCAAATGTTTCAATTCTCGGCATCGTAACGCTTCCCCTCCGAGCACGACCGACCTCACCAGCCGGCCGTCAGAGTTCACAAACGACCTCCCGAGTCAACGGCGGTTTGGGTCTCTATCTGCGCACGAAATGCAGGTGATATAAAGAATGAGACGAAATCAAAAAATAACAACACCTAAATTTCAATGTCAATCTAATGGACAAAACGGTAAAGAAATTATGAATTTCTAATATTATGAGGAACAAGCTGGTTTGTTTGACGGATTTTTACCACCTGAAACCGAGAGAGGTGCCTCAGGGCATCAACTAATGACTCTGCAGTGCCTCTGACCGGGAGGTCCTACGGAATGAGTCCCGACGGTGGCAGGATTTTCGACACTAGCTCGTCACCTAGGTCGAATTCCGTTGCTGTCTGGAGGAGAATTCTTGCGGCCGGCTACTCAGATCAACATTTTCCCCTGGTTTCTCCGATCAGTACCAGGAGAATGCCAGAGCAATAAACTAACAAACGGGCCACGGACCGCGCGCGATCGTTTCTTCCCCTTCCTTGTCCTATCTCACCTCTTAATCACACTTACACTTACATGCACTACACTACCACTCATGCCGGGAGACCGGTGGGGAACTTAGAGCTTGTCCCGGCTGGGGCGGTGCCCCGCTAGTGGGAAATACCTGGTCGGGGAAAACTTCGCTAGCCGATGGTAGGTCGGCGCCGGATCTCGACATCCAGCGGGGGCAGACCACCGCCACCTTCCGAGGGGAAACAGCATGCACCACACTTACGGGACTTATGACCGTAGCCGTTGACGCGCCCATAATCACGAACAATGAGTGAGACGACTCGCCCCCGAATGCGCCGGCGCTCTCACCTCGACGTCGCGTGCGAAGGGCGCCAGCAGGCGGATGGGGCTCTTGATGTGCTTCACGTAGACGACCGGCGCGAGCGCGTGCATGGAGGCGACGCCGGCGGCCGCCTCGGGCTTGGCGGACGCCATCACGAAGAACATGGTGGTGCCCATCGAGTGGCCCACGTAGTGCAGCTGCGAGGCGCCCGTCGTGTTCAGCACGTAGTCGATCACCGCCGGCAGGTCGTAGATGCCCATTTCGTGGAAACTGCGAGCAACGAACGACTCGATAAAACCGGAACCGCGCCTGAGAAGCCTCAAAACCGGCACCGAACCGATTCAGAATGAAAACCGACACAATGAAAAATTGGGAATAAATGAGTCTTACGAGTGATGGCTGAGATGTGTTAATATGGACAGAAATTGCGGAATTATAATATTACGTAAATGCTAGTTTAGATTTATAACACATCTTTCGGCAACTTGACCTTCGAGGCGGTTTATTAGAAATCTTTACAACATTTAGCTTTCTTTGGAATGGATTTTTATTGAATTGAATTGAATTAATTCCTTATTTTACGTGGCGAGACTCGGGCCGTCAGGCCCGCTCTTCCGTCTGACCACGCAAATTTCGCTACGCTCCTTTCACCACCTAGCAGAGGAAGGACGGGCGAGATTATTTTTCTATTTCTTGGGCGCGAAACAGGCGATATGGAATTTAGCTCAGAGGCTTCATTTAGGCTTGAGAATCTTTTACATGCATTAAATCTACTAACATGGGACAGCCGGCTTTACTTCCTCTCTGAAGGAAGGCGTACGAAAGGTTTTTTTTTTCGCCCTTAAAAAATCCACGGCTTCGATCGGGTTTGATCCCGCCAGCTTGGGTATACCAGTCCAATACGCTAACCGCAATACCATCGGCGCCGCATTTTATAAGGATATTTATATGATTTTGCACAACTATAAGTTATTTTATTAAATTTGTATTAATAATTCAAAATTTCGTGAATTGGAGCGAAGTTGAAATTTGAGGGTTATAATTCTGGAATAGGCCTCAAAAGTGCATACAGTAGGTGTGCGGCAACTTCCAGCGCTTGAGATGACCCTCTTGAACTCAAAACTCAACTACTCATTGATCATCTCGGTGGGGTAACGCCCCGCCTCAGTGTGAAGCATTGCCTGTTGTTGCCCATCTCAATTTTCCTCTTATAAATTAATTATGGCCCAGATATTAATGTACTAAAAATACTGAAAATATGCGCTACAACTGTGGGAAATACAACAAAAATGGAATAACATGCTCTTGAGGAACACGTCAATATATTCACTTACCTACTTACATATAGAATTAATTGCAGACGCAACACTTGAAGTCTTTCAATGTTTTCTGAAGGTAAACTACCTAGTACCTATTGTCCATCAAAATATGTTTATAGTCTACAAATGATAATTCAACTACAAATTAAGTGATTGGGCAGTTTGGGTACTTAAACTCGGGCGCAAAGGCATCGGAACCTGCATCTGATAAAGAACCCACTAAGGACGGAATAAACAACTGACTCTTCTTCTTCTTATTTAGTCCTTCATATATGATATGAAATAAGATCTTATGTTTAGAATACGCAATAACGACAATAGCTTCGAAACAGGCATTAGCATTTGTGCGTATGCAAACACTTACATCATTTGCGAGAAAGCTTATTCCGGCATCTTGTAATTCGAACTTTCTTTCAACCGCATGTTCATGATTTGTCCGAAGTGTTAAATGAAAGAGATATAGTGGTGTTACGCACTCGCGCCCGGACTGTGAATACCTGAAATCCCAGAACGGGGAGGAGGGCTCTGTGGGCAGGTACACGTGTGCTCTGGAATACGTGTTTCCTCGTGCGTTTCCCATCCAGACGTCGTACCCTGCGTCGGCCAACAGATACGCTAGAAGAGAAGAATGAAACAAGTCTCTAAGCCAGCATTAAAACTTTTCTTAAATTAGCCGAATTTAACACATTCCCAAAAAATTCCAGGCCAATATTTTCACGAATATTAAATCTGACCATTTTTAAAAAATATTATTAATTAACATATAGGTAATCCAAAGAAAACAAGAGACTTAGTGCAGTTTTCGATCAATAGGGACCCCTGATTTTGAACACAAGTTCCCCCTCCAATACAAAAACAATATTCACTTCTTCATGCAACACGAATAACTTACAGTGGTTAATTTGAATTAAAAGTAAATGCTTTTGTCATTTACTTTGAATGAAGAAAAATGTGGAACCCGAATTACATTAGGGACTGGAGGCAGTTGTTCAACCCATCCCACCCCCACCTCTTCAGGGTGCCACTGCAGATAATGCTCTTCAGGAACATGGACATACATTGAAATCAAAATGGCTGATGGATTCCGTAAGATAAACGAACGCTGGGTCTAAAATGGCTCGCCACTGCTACATCATTCTCCCATTGGAATGGCAGAAATGCCAGTTGACACATATTTCATTGGAAATTGTCCAATAATTTACCCAAAATGTTATAGCTGGATAAGAATGAAAACAACCTCAATTCTATTTCTGTTTTGAGAATTACACTTGTTTACAAGTTCATTTACACAAAATTCAGAATGTATTTAAACATTTCCAAACTACAATTAGATTGCATTGTCGCGGTGATTATTGAAGCCTTCCATTAGCAAGAAACCTGTTGTCAATTCAACAAATATTAGTAAAACTTAAGACGTGAGATGTGTGGACATTTGCGATTATTAATTGTGGAATATGTTGGATGTGAGCACTCTCGAACATTATATTATGCCTATTGTGCGTTGCCAGGGTGAGATACCGAAGCTTCATGACCTGGGGCCTTCAGTAACGCGAATAAAATAGATTTAAGTCAGGCTGATGTACATAACACTGCAAATTTAGAGCGTGAATTTATCAAAATTGTAAAAAAGTGTTATTATCAATAATGAGTAATACAGTTTGCAGAGAGGCCACTTTTCATTAATAATCTGGATCCCTTTTAAACGGGATGGACCATTTTTGTTTTCATTAATTACTTTTTAATTATCCTTAATACTTTACCAATACTAATTCTTGTGCATTCTTCGTACCTAAACCTTTATCGGGACCTGCCACAATCCAGTCGTAAGAACTTCCAAGAAGCCCATGCTGCAGAAATATCACAGGCCGTGACACAGGCGGTGGCGCAGTAGTAGTTGTAGGAGGAGGAGGAGGAACAGTAGTAGTAGTAGTAGGAGTAGTAGCATTAGTAGTAGGAGCAGTAGTAGTATGAGCACTAGTCGTAGTAGAAGGAATAGGAGCAGTAGTAGCAGTAGGAGGAGGAGGAGCAGTAGTAGTAGTAATGTTAGAAGCAATAATAGGAGCAGTAGAAGGAATAGCAGTGGTAATTGTAGAATTAGTAAATGCGGTAGTAGTTGGGGAAGTAATAGTGGTAATAGGAGGAGGCGTAGAAGTAGAAGTCGCGTTAGTAGGTATGGTTGGGGAAGAAGTAGTGGTAATACTTGTAGGACTCTGAGAAGCACTTGCAAAAGCCGTAGAAGAGCTCGTGGGAGCCTCGGTTGTCGTAGAAGGGGGTGGCCTAGCCGAAGTCGTTTGAGGGGCGGACGTTGAGGTAGAATGGACGGGAACGAAACGCGCGGTGGTGGCGGGAGGGTTCGGCGGCGTCGCGGCGGTCGGGGCGGGCGGGAGCGGCGTGGACGTCGGGTCGGAGGTGGCCGTGGCAGCGGACGGCGTCGTCCAGGTGCCTTCGGGGGACGAGGCCTCCGTCGTCCAAGGCGGGGAGGAGCCGGCCGCCACGGGCCTGTCGGTCGTCGGCGCCGCGTCCGCCCCCGAGGGCCTCGCCGTGGCGGCGGCGGCGCTGGTGGCGGTGGGCGTGGCCCCGGTGCCGTCCGGGGGCGCTGCGCCGTCGGGCGCCGACGCGTTGGCCAGGCGCGGCCCCGGGATGCGGTGCAAGGTGAGCAGGTAGCCGTCTGCCGTCTGCACCACGTGCGCTTCCGAGTTGTACCCGTAACGACGCACAGTTTGGGGCTGAAAGAGTCATTCATGGCATTAGGCAAATAACTTAGACCTCGGACTAAAGTTCTAAAAAACATAAATATAGGTTTTATGTGCTTAAAAATTGAAAAATATGTGTTCAAACAACGAAAATGTTAATTTATTACCACCGGGACATCCAGCTCAGGGCATCAACTGATATCACTGAAGTGCCCCTAACTAGTTCTAGCTTCGAGTCCCGTCGGTGGCAGGATTTTCCACGTAGCTGGCTCGAGGTCAGTCGGCGACTGGAAGAGAATTCTAGGGGTCTGCTGCCCTGGTCGGTAGTTTTCGGTGTTTTTTTCTGACCAACGCCAGGCGAATACCGAAGCAGTATTCTTACAAATGGGCCACGGAACGCGCGCGATCTTTCCTTCCTCTTTCTTGTCCTAGCCTCATCTCTTACTTACACACACACACACTCACACACACCTGCATGCACTACACTACCACACATGCCGGTAGACCGGCCGGGAGCTTGGATCTTGTCCCGGCTGGGGCGGTGCCCCGCCAGCCGACAAGTAGGCTGGCGCCGGATGTCACCGTACGGCGGGGGACGATCACCGCCACCTCCCGAGGAAAACGGATGCACTACACTTAAGGGACTAATGGCTTTAGCAGTTGACGAGCCCGGAATCACTAACAATCAACCATTTACAACGAAGAGACAAAAAAAATTGGTACAGCCATGCGTATTGAAATAAAGAGATCCCGAACCAATCAGAATACGGCACTTAATAAGAGAACCACAGTCTGGCAGAGTTGTTAGATTAGTTACCGCAGCTACAATAGCAGGTTGTCACGATTTATGTGAGTTTCAACGTGGCGTTATAGTAGGCTCAAGAGAGATGGGACATAGCATCTCCGAGGTCGCGATGAAATTTGTATATTTTCGTACGATACTTTTACAAGTGTACCATGAGTATCGTGAATCCGGTACAATATAAAATGAATGAATCCATGGACACAACATGTCAACAGGGGACACTTTAAACTGATGGAGGCTCTGTGTAGGTATGGGGCGTGTGCAGTTGGAGTGAAATGGGACCCCTGATACGGCTAGATAGGACTCTGACAGGTGACACGTACGTAAGCATCCTGTCAGATCACCTGCAGCCATTCATTTTCAATGTGCATCGCCAAGGACTTGGGCAATTCCACCAGGACAATGAGACAGCACACACTAACAGAATTGCTACAGAGTGGCAATCACTGGCTGAAACACTCTTTACACACTTCCACTGGCCACCAAAATTCCCAGACATTAATATTATTGACCATATCTGGGTTGCCAAGCAACGTGCTGTTCAGAAGAGATCTCCAACCCGTCGTACTCTTAAGAGTTTATGGACAGTCCTGCAGGATTCATGGTGACAAATACCTCCAGCACTGCTTCTGACATTAGTCGAGACCATGCCCCGTCGTGTTGCGGCACTTCTGCGTACTCGTGATGGCAACATCAAGATATTAGGCAGTTTTTTGACTCATCAGTGTATTATCAACAGGAAACACAGAACCAAGATCGAGAGAAGTCTCGAAGTAAAATGTGACGTCATCCTCTTCAACATTCTACACTTTTCTGAATGAGAAAGTTTGGAAGCAGTTCGTGTTATGAGTGTATATTATCGCTCGGAGTGTCATTGCCTGACTCGACAGTAGGGTTAGAATGGCCCTAAGAGGTCTTCACAGGTCGTAAAACAGACTCAATCCGAATCAATCTGAGAAGACCCACAGTAACATATGCTGTGTGACCAACCACTGCATTCCAAACTGGCACATGTTTCCCCATATATCCTAAAACTCAAAAGTATTAAACATGAAAATTATCAAAATATTTATTTATTCTTATAAATTTTAGATAAATATGTAATAATATTTGCTTTGACGAAAATATTTATTTTTATGCAAAAAATATTGATTTTTAGGTGCAATTTGGTATATGGAAAATAGGGTGCGCTACTTGAATGTCCAACAAACTTTCAACGCTCAAGATTAAGAGGAAAAATTACGTATTTACCTAAAAGTCCGAGCCCAACAAATAAACAACCGAATCTGTTGTTTGTGTAATCGACTAGGTGTCGTTTAGTCATTTTTTGAAATACTATCTTATTACATGAAAAAAAAACATTTAAACAAGAAACTTTATTTCTTGGAATAAGTATACTCATCCGCCATCTTTAGTTACAACGGACGTGCAGACTGTTACTGAGTGGACGGCATACAGTTAAATTCTTCGACGTCTTCCGTTAACATTGGATTTTCGATCGTCTGGTTTCGTTTAGCCAAAATCTGAACAGAACATTATAACGAAAAATGTAAAAAACAATGTCAATAATAACTAACAGTTTAATTTGAATATATATATATATATATATATATATATATATATATATATATATATATATCAATATTTCGCATATATATTGTATTTGGTAAGGTAAGTATGAACGTTGTGTTTGATCCACCCCTGGAGCGGCTGTTCTTAAATTTCGCACGAACCTTCTCGAGAAACCGAAATAAACATGCGTTGCAGAGGTTTTGCGAAATGTTAACCTGAAATTAGTTACACAACAATATGTTACCAGAAATAACGCATCTCGCATTGCATCAAGGCGAGATTGTCGCCGGGCAACGTGGGTTGGCGCCGGGAGAGGGCGAGGGCGACAAAAGCGGGCGGTGCGGATGGATTCCTTAATTGATGATGCCGTGCGCGTCAAGTGCTAAGGCCCTTAGTCCCATACGGGTAGTACATGTGTTTTCCTCGCGAGGTAGCGGCGATCTTCCCCCGCTGGATGGTGAGGTCCGGCGCCGACCTACCTTTCGGCTAGGGAGTTTTCCCCAACCAGGTATCTCCCACCAACGCTGCACCGCCCCAGCCGGGATAAGCTCTAAACTTCCGACCGGCCTTCAGACACGTGTAGTTGTGTAGGGTAGTGCATGTAAGTGTGTGTAAGTAAAGGTGAGTGAGGGATGTCCAAGGAAGAGGAAGGAAAGATCGTGGGTGGTCCGTGACCCGTTTGTTAGAGTACTGCTCCGGCATTCAGCTAGTTTTGATCGGAGAAACCACGGAAAACTACCGATCAGAGCAGCCGGCCGCTAGAATTCTCCTCGAGAAAGCGGCTGAACTCGACTTAGATACGAAGCCAGCGTGGAAAATTTTGCCTCCGTAGGGACTCCAACCTAGGACCTCCTGGTCAGAGGCATTGCAGTGACATCAGTTGATGCCCTGGGCCACCTCTCCCGGGAGGGATGGGAAAGTGTGGCGAGGAGAGAAAGAGGCGAGGAGGCCTGGAAGGGTGGGGCTGATTAATAACACTAGTTAATAAGATATTTACCTCCATGAAGGTAGATTGCGCGTTGTCAATATTAGTATAACTTATTATGAATAAGTACAACGGTAGAATACGAATATCACAATAAAAACGTCATATCACGTCACAGTTTTTAAATATACCGTATATTTATACCGTATCATAACGTATTTTGTTATTAATGCAAATACATTAAAAGTAAGTACGTAGAATCAATACGCATAAAATCTATTTAAAAAGAAAATATTTGTTCAGTTCATCTGTGCCACTTTCATGAGATACCTACATATGTGTTCGTTGTTTTTTAATCTTCAGATTTCGAAGACTAAAGACTTTATTTTCATGTCTTGTAGTTGCGCTCGACTACGAGTAGGTCTTAGGGGTCTCAGTATGTCTTAGTGGATGTTTTGAAGTCACGTGCACCCTCATATTTCTTGCCGTGCATCACTCACCGAAAATAATTTTTTTGGCCCCTTACCTTATTGCAAGTATTCAAAAATCCAACTGTTGGGATGGTAGATTCTGAGTCAGTCGGTATCATGCAGAATTATACCCGAAACGCACGTATAGTTCGTCTGGTCTGCGGGTGCCTCAACTATATTAATATATTACAGTTCTTTGGGTTTTGTAAAGTTAAATTTGCCACATGATCTGTTGAATTGAATTGGTTCGATAAAATGCAAATCCCCATTTCACATCGAAAATATGCGAATCAACTCGATAACTTCTGTTACTTTTTGAAAGATTAACCAAACCCCAAACTCCTAAGGAAAGAAATATATGAAACTAGAAAAAGTGCGTAATCTTTACACTTTGTCTGTCGTGTTTGTAGTCAGGACAAACCATGGGATGTTCACCAGTGTTGTGTCACCTTTACAACGAACTTTAGGTTGTGGTTGTATGGAAAACTCAAATCATTGGCATTCGCTCTACCAATGTTGAGATTACCAACAAACCATTTTAATGACTACATATTATTGATCATTAAAGTTTGGAGTAATATAACCGGAGTGACAATGCGGATATTAGTAGAGGATTTTGTTCATTTCAAATACTTCATATCTTCACGTCTTCCTAACTTCATATCTTCAAATATGTTCATATTTTCGGAATCAGCGTGATCGTTTCTTTATCACCTACTTTCATCTTGGAGGCATGATTTTTTTTGTTCCCTAATGTAATTGATTGTGAACCGGGAAAAGTCTTAATAAGTGTATATCGAATTTGTTTATGTTTGTTCCACAACAATATTTGAACCACCAGAGCGATTGCTCTTAAATGTTGCAACGGCAAGGCACTGTTGCCAAGCGTGGCTGGGCGAGGCGGCGCATAGTCGATCTGGGCGGGGCATAATTAAACACCCGTGAAACGCCAGGTTACTTAAGCTAGTAATCAATAGAGCGTCCAGAATTACAAGCGTTAACTATTTACACACCTACGTTCTTTGGGAATGATTTGCAAGACTGTATTTCAGCTTTTGAGTTTTAGCACATTGAGTTATACAATTATTCCCTGTACCTGGTAAATGTGAAGCCCAGGAAACATAAATAAAATGCGTTTACAGCAAAATGGTTCGAAGTGTTAAGGATAAATATTCGAAGTACTTTTCGCCGTTTCCCCAGCCACATTTTACACTCTATTTAATTCAGTTATATATTTAATGCCAAACTAGTGGTGCTAAAACAGCACGTACTTTCTCGCCATTAGTAATGTAATGATTATGTAATACTATTTGCATCACAATATTTTTCCGAATAATTTTTTTTTGTAAAATTCATGTGAAGTTGTAGAATATTTGATGCGAAAAAAAGTAGTATGTGAGAAAATAATACAATTAAAAGTTAATAAATAATATGGTACTGATTGAGTTGGCAAACAAATTGAAATATATCGAAAAATATATAATAGTAATTATTAAGCACTATGGTATTGTAATAGTCTATAAAAAAGCAGCCGTAATTATCGCCTTGTTATCTGTGCGGTAATAGACTGAGATATATATCATGACTATGGTGCGTCGTTGCAACAATGGGTAACAACAACCAGAGATGACTGCTGATCTATTCTTTAGCACATTCAACATAACTAAAGTACGCAATTTAAAATGAAATAACATAAATATAATAATAATAATAATAATAATAATAATAATAATAATAGTGATAATAGTAATAATAATAATATATTAAATAATATACACATTCTAACTTAGCATTCAAGTGTGTAAATTGGGAGCGGCCGACTGAAGGCTGGAAATATTTATTTCAAATAGGTTTTAAATAATTTCTAAAAGATTGATTTGTAAATGTATAACACAAGCTCCAATGTAAGAAACGAAAAAAGTAATATGAAATAATATAGCTTAATAATAATATTCTAGCTTATGTCGCATCCAATTGCTTCAAAACAGGTCTAAAATTACGATCAAGAAGCGCAGGATTTTCAGAGCGTTCTACTAACTCTGACGTCCAATTACTCAAACAATACATATATTTTCGAAAAATTCAACATGACCTTATTTAAAAATCATGATGAACATATTTCATTAAGATATAAACGTATATTCATAATTATAGTTGTAGGAAGGACCCCTAAAAAATGTTGAATTTTTTCAAATGTCCCAAAACCATTTTTTCATTCAATATGAATTTTGCACCATTTTCTCACACGGACTTTTTTCCAACTAAATTTCATCAAAAACAATGGAGTCGTTTTTGAGAAAAGGTTGTTTAAACAAACATTAAAAATGGCCTATTTCACGCAAAACTACGCGAAAATACTCAAACTTTCGAAACAATGTGCATGACCTTATTTCGAAATATATCTTTAAATAACACATTTTATTAAGATATCTATCTTTAATATTTTGTAGCAAGATGCCGAAAACAATTTTGAATTTTTCAATTTTCGAAACGTCAAGAGGCCTGCGCTATTCCGTTTTCAATCAACATGAGACCTGCGCCATTCTCTTAAACGTCCTTTATCAAAATTTTATCCAACAACAAAATTAAATCAAAATCGATTGTCACTTTTTTGAAAATTTCGAAAACATCGCAGAGGATTCATTTAAAGTATCCCACAGAATTAAAATTTAGATTTCAAATTCAACGGTCCGCGACATCAGTGAAATCGATAACGGAATATCAATTTTGGAGAAAATCGACTGAACAGTTTAGCCGCTAGCGCTGTTCACAGATGGACAGACAAACATTTTGCGGTCAATTAATTTTCCGGTATCAAGGACCCACAAAACATGGATTCTAACTGCACCACGTGCTAGAGGATTTTTTCTTAATTTAGCAATTGGATTTAACCACGGTATCAGGGCCCGGCAATTAATTGTTTACTGCCGAAATTCGCAGTTTTCGCGCAGCTTTACATAACTTTCTCTATACTACGTATATATGTGAAAATAAAAAGAACAGGAATGGGAGTTATTTCTAGAGAAAATGATAGGTTCTAAACGAATTCATATGGAAGGATATGTGTTTGTGCCAAGAAACGCCAGGAAAGAGAACCAGAAAATAAGGGTGATTCAATTGTCTGCCGGAAGAATAGACCCAATGCCTGAGCCTCACATCAATAACCGGTATTTATTAATTTTATTAATTTATTTTAAATCTAAATATTGGTTGGCTGAGGGAGTGGAAGAGTTACAATCGAATATTTGAGTTTTTCAGGAAAAATTCAAACTGTTTTGGTTTTCCGAATTCCTGAATATCTAATGAAACCATGGACACCTCTCACCAAGCTAGAAGCTGGATAGTTTGCTTGTTTTTCAATTTTTACGCGCATTTGAAATTAATAACATTGTTCTTTCAATAATTCGTCTTGCGGTCAGCAGATCAAGATAAGTAAAGACAGTAGGCATAATTTCTCAATGAACTCTGAACGTCTATAATTCGTCAACATTCACAGGAAGCATTGCAAAATTTCATAGAAAGAGACCATCCATAAATTACGTAATGCAAATTTAGAATATTTGGAATATCCTCTTTCCCCCCTGTGACACGCGCTTGAACCTCCCTCTATATACACACGTAGGTAAGGCATGCCACCAACTCATGCACACGCACACGCGCACGTACACGCGCACGCACACGCACGCGAACACGCGCACACACGCACACACACGCGCGCGCGCCCATTTACAGTATGTTAAGAATAAATTAGATTACAATCAAACCATTTGTATTAACTTTATTTGTGTTATACATTAAAGCTTACGATAATAAATTCAAAATTAGTTGGGATGCTGTACCGAACAATAAGTTGGGACATTTTTGGAATCAAGGGAGGACGCACGAACATAAAAATCCTTGTCAAGTCGTCCACATGGGTGATCTGGGCTGTCCGGGTGACGCCGCGTCGAAGGCTGTGTTGCCGACATTTCGACCGTCCTGTCGTGGTCTTCCTCAGGGCTGGTATGCGCCGTGATGGCGGCAACACAGCCTTCGACGCGGCTTCACCCGGACAGCCCAGATCACCCACATGACTCTGGCCGCGGAAGCCTACGACTTCATTTAAGTCGTCCATATGCCGTTGTGGAAGACGCATAAGCAATAGTGTACTGAGCCAATTTAATTGGATTCTAGAATGTAGTAGTATAGATCAGTTTTGAATGTTTTCTTGTGTAATTTTGAATGTAATCTGACAGTTTCAATCAATACTTGATGAAGAAATGTTTCCAATTATTGTAACAATTTTTGCCGTATACTTCCTTAAATTATTTATATTTTTAATTTAATTTGTTAATGTTTGAATGTTTTGGGATTATTGAATCAAATTAATTACTTCCACAAATGTTCAACTAATTCTTTTTTAAAATCAGCGTTATGTAACACTAAACACTACTGCTATGCAACGCAACGTAATGGTGCCGCAACTCAATCTTTAGCGTTACGTAATTTATGGATGATCCCTAATCGGGTCGCAACTCTGCCGGAACCGAAATTAGTTCGTTTCGCGCGGGAAACTAACTTAATAAAGAGACTGCGCCATCTGGTGGCGATGCGCCGCAATAAGAAGCGGCGAGTCGGAGCACTACAGCTACGCGACTGTGTCCCAGCGCGCTCTGGAGGGCACGTTGACGGCTAAATGGAACTGGTAGGAAGAAATGGTTACACTCTTTCAGGGTTAATTAGGGTTAACAGCGTAATAGTTACCCTCTTTTAGGCTTACCAGACATCTAGTTAAAAAATTCAAGTTCGTTGAATCAAAAAAATCAGAACGTTTTTTTTTATAATGACCTACTAGTACAAAGTTCTTATACTACTACTACAAAAGAGATATCAATTTATATGTTAATGCTGTATTTTATGTTAAATTATACGACTATGGCAGCTTTTTATTAAGGATTATTCCTATCTCTGATTCAATATTCCTCGTTCAAACATAAGAATAAGACATTTATTGTTCTTTTTGTTCGAAACAGTGAGTTACACTCCTAATATCACTTTTTATGCTAACGCAATTCTATTTTATGTATATTTTATATTAAAAATATTAAAACAAAACTTTAAAACAGTATGTAGATAATACATATTAAAGAAATCAGGACTTCTGAAAACAAATCAGGACAGCCCAAAAAGCAGGACATGCCAGGACGTCTGGTAAATCTACACTGCTGCGCGCTGGCACTTACCGTGTTGAGGTCGACGTCCGGGTCGAACGTCTCCTGGTCGGCGTCTTGGGCCGCTGCGAGCGCCAGCAGCGGGACGAGGGCCAGGGCCAGGGCGAGGGCGAGGGCGCGGCCCCGCGGGCGACACGAGGCGGCCATCGCCGCGATTCCTTCCCGCCTCCTCTCGGACGGGTCCTGCGGCACAGACAAAACACGCAACCGTTGCGCAGCTTTCTGTACAAAACGCCTGCCCCAGTTTGGGGGTTTATTAAGTGGCTGATTACTACGGAATTCCGGGCACGTCAACTACCAGAGTTATTATTCCCGTAAGTGTAGTGCACGTGTTTTGCTCGAGAGGTGACGGGAATCTTTCCCCCACTGTATGGCGAGATCCAGTCCCGACCTAACGTCAGCTACCGGGCTTTTCCCTAACAAGGTATCTCCCACCAGCGGGGCACCGCCCCAGCTGAGACAAGCCCTGACGGTTCTCCCAGCATATATGGTAGTGTAGTGTGAGTTAGTGTACGTGTGCGTGTAAGGAGTGAGAATAGGACAAGGAAGAGGAAGTTGGGATCGCGAGCGGTCCTTGGACCGTTTGTTAGGGTACTACTCCGGCATTCGCCAGGTCTTGTTCGGGGAAACCACGGAAAACTCCCCATCAGAGCAGCCGGCCACTCGAATTCTCCTCCAGACGGCAACTGAATTCGACCTAGCTAACAAGCTAATGTCGAAAATTCAGCCACCGTAGGAACTCGAACCTAGGACCTCTCAGTCAGAGGGACTGCAGTGACAACAGATGATCTCTCCCGGTTTTGGGGGCTTAGGGTATGGATTTCGCCGATACATGACATTCAAAATTTCTGCAAATCAAATCTCATTTTCCGCCAGAAAAGAGGTAAATTCCAATAAGCTCACAAAATCTTGAGAGCGTAGGCTTCCGCGGCCAGTCAGTAACTATTTTCTGAATAACATGTCTTTCTACTTGACAGTTAGCGTCCGAGAGGGGGGAGGGAGTTCCGTTATCCAATTAGAGGCTTCAAATTCAGATGGCGTCAATACAGAGTTGTCTATACTTATTCAGAAAAACATTAATCTTACAACGCGAAGCAACTGACATTACTTTGGTTATGAATCGTGTGAGCGTTTGTGTGTCTTCTACGGTTGGGTGGGTGCTCTTATTGCGATGTTTGTTGCCACTATTGTGATCTGAACCAACAGACCGCGAGGACGACCGCGAGGACGACCGCTCGTGTAAATGGCAGCCCCACACCCGCTCTACCCCACACCCGCAATCAAGTAGACAGAAGTACTCATTATTCTAACAATAATCGACACTGTGCGTTGGCTAAAGTGGTAATAAATATTCTGGAATCTTTCCTCAAACGGAAACGTGAAAACCAGATTTCAAGTATCCATTATTTGACTATTTCTAATAGCATAGAGGAACGACGATAACACATTGATTCAGTAATTCAGAGATTTGCAATTCGCTCGTTAAATGGTAAAATATATTGGATAATTCTGAATGGAGAGACAATGTTGATGGTTTGATAATCCGCGCAGCTCGCTGATAAGCAATGACCATTAAAAATAAGAGAAACTCCTTCAAATCAACGAAATTAATACACGGAAATGTAAATATTACAACACGAATATTAATTTTTATCAGAAGTACATTCTAGAATCATGTAAATATATATTTATGTGTGGCAGCTAGGCTATTCCAATGCCAGAAGATCTTCGTGTTAAATTGCGAATCGTACTTTAATCCTGACAGTGATCCCCGTATTCGTTCTTGCGCCAATCAAACAATTGGAAGAGCTGGATTGGCGTTTAATTAAAGTATGAATAATTGAGAGTTTATTTGTAGTTTGGAGATTGCATATTCGATCGGGGGTTTAGTATACATTAGGTATGAGCTTCGTGAATAAATAAAGCCCACGGAATATCGATTTGGGTCCCCTTTCCTAGTCAAGACCCCAAGTAGAGGTTCGTGATGTAATAAACCAAGTGACAACTGTGAACGTGAACGAAAGTTTAACGCATAGTGTACGACAGACAACTTACAAAACAAACTGTCGCTCTGCGTATCATAGTCTTAAAAGGCATTTGGAATAAGGATATGCATTCCTACAGTTTAAATGCACGTTTAGACGCATGTGTTTTAAGATTCTGGTAACGTGATATTTCTCAAATATTAACCTTGCATTATTACATTGTATTTTACGTTCAATTTCAAACAACCCTGATACATAATAAATGTCTTGTAGATGCGATACAGTAATGGCTGTTAACCTATTTACGCCGTTAAGGGTTCATGACGATTCATGTTCTTTTTTCGATTTAATAGTAATTACATGTACTTATTAATTTTAATTTTTGGTAACTGAACACTTTTTGTTTTAATTAATGGCTTATTTATTTATAACGTTTCTTGATCATAAAAGATAACCAGAAAACCATTATAATCCAAATTCGCATTGTCAACTAATTAGACTTACTCCCAGTGATCCAGAGAAGAATATGAAGGGGAAGTTTTCGCCCTACGTCTTTCGACATACGTCTTCAGCAAATTATAAAGCTTTTGCACTCGTACTTTCCATACACAAAAACATTTCTTTGAAATTGAAACCTGATATTTATCAATGTGTGATTATCATTGCACTCAAATGAAACATTTGCGTTTTGAAAAGTTACTGATGTTTCTAAATTTGCATGAACTTGGGGACAGGCGGTCCCTTTTTGCACCCAACGCTCGTTGCTTTTTACAGACATCTATATATTCCTAACGGATGCCATTTTGGGAGAAATTCTGCGTATTAGGCGAAAAAAGCCTCCTCGTCTTACAGAAAGAAAATACATTTTGCGTGAATTCCGTCCAACGCGTTGGAACGGGCGAAATCGTCAATGGTATCTAACATTTCCTACAACCTACAAATATTGATTGAAGATATGCTTTATGTCAACTAGGGAACGTGTAGCTTCTCTGAAATTACGGCCTAAAGTGCCAGATCCCGCTTTAGGCTCAAGTTATTTCCACGGTAAAAGATGCCTGAGCAGTGTTGATAAAGACTCGCCATACTGATTTCATTTCTTACTAAATATATTTTGTTTTTAGTGACAACTTTATGTTAAAATCGGCTAATCGCTAATAAAAATGAAGAAACATGAACAATATAAAGGAACATGATATTTCAATAAAACTTATATCTGGTTGCAAAATAATTTTAAAATATTTGAACTTGTAAATTTTGGATAAAATTATTTGATTTAAAATCTATCAATGTAAAATCTGTCATGTAGCACACAATATTGTTCTAATGATAAAATAAAATTATAAATTTATAAATAGCATTAATCAATTTTCTTCTTTTATGTTATCAGCATACTCAGTGTCACATGGAATGATATACCCATTCTCGAATATTCCAACATTGCATTATATGGGGATGACACTGCCCTATTTTCTACAAATTCTGAAATCTTAGTATCAAAAGACCACATTCAAAATCATGAGTACATAAATTGGATACGCTCTTTATTGAAAATCTTATGCTGACTACTACTATTTAAATCAATTATCTTTCCTACCATAACACATGGATGCCCAATATGTGGAGATGCAGGTCCTCGCAAGTTTAAAAAATTAAAGTGATCCAGAATATATTAATAAGAAATACTCTAAATGATCCTTGGATCATTAATAAAGAACAAATTCATCAATAATTTAAAATGTGAAAATTAGAAGTAATCTTAGCCCAATTAGCAAACAATTTCTACAACAATCTGCATACCTCCCCCAAGAAGAAACATCATTTTTAACATGGAAAAAATGTACTCTATCCACACATAAAATCAAGATTTCCCAACGATACATTCAAACCCTCGTAAACCAGAAAATCCTCAGCTTCGTAAGACACGCATTCCCCTTCCCTTTTCTAATCAACAATCAATCTAATCAACAATCAATTTAATCAATACGAAAAAAATTAAACCTTATGGATGGCCACTCCAAAAATGTTGACTAATCTCACAAATAATGTTACTGACTAATCTTATGTACTATATTGCTGAAATTGTGCATCTTATGCCCTTGAAATACTGTATTGTTGAATAAGAAGAAATATTTTTCATGCCCCATGGAACGACACAATCACAACATACTCGTAACTTTATTTTATTTTGATGAATAAAGGGAATCTTTAAGAAGAAAATAAATTGTTCAATTTCAATATTTTTTAAATGTATCAACCATAAAAGCTTGAATTTATAAATTCGATGATATTCCACCACTGTTAATAAATTCCCCTGTTTTCCCGCTGCCCGCGAAGCACAAATTTTCCCCGCAGAGTACTTCGAAAACCCGCTAAACATAGCGGAAAATCCGACGATCTGGCAACAACCGTTCTCAAGAATACACTACGTATCGCAAAAACTCGGGAGAAAACAAGCATAAATTCAATGTGGTACGTTGACGTATGTGAAGAAATATTTAACACTTTTTTCAGTGACAGAATCAGAACCATTTGACGGATTTTGGCCTAATTCCTTCTAGTGGAGGATTTCGTTAGTACGCATCAGGCAATCATGATTCCTAACAGTGTCACTTCGAACAGGATTCGTTATGACGCATACATCAATGTAAAGCAACAAGCATAACAAATGAAAGCGGTTGCCTAAAGCATACACACTTCTCCGCATTTCTAGCAAGAGCAACTTACATAGCATTAAATAAAATACCAAATTAAATTAAATGGGTCGGGTATAAACAGAGGTCTTCTCATATCATAATTCTTTTACGATGTAAATTTTAAGATAATTTCCGTTTAGTCTAAGATCCATGTTCGGATCCGTTATTTGCAATAATATTGTAATTAATCTATTGGACAAATTACGTAGTAGAATTTCCCTTAATTTATATGATTAACACCTATTTTTATACTCATTTTGTAACGCAAAATATAATATGTTTAAAACATAAAAGTATAATTGATGTAATTCAGAAAAATATATTTGTGATTAATTAGCATTACAACAAAAAACATACGAAAGACAGGCACTCGAATATATGGTTTCGATAAATAATCACATCTGAATATTCATTCCTCTAGTTTTGCAGTGTTTATGATTTCAGACCATTTTATTCCTGTTACCCACTTCCAGACACGAACCACTGCACGCGCTATTATATAATA